CCTGGAGGTACATTGCTTGCACTCTGAAGAAGGGATGGGGATATTTGCAGTTTTGAACTGTTGTATTGGCATGCCTCTGGCAAGAGAGTGATGGAGTGAGTGATGGTGAAAGTGTTTCTTCTTTTTCTGGTCGCCCTACTTTGGTTGGAAGCAGCTGATATGTTAATAAAAAGAAATCATTGCAAGTAGTAATAGTAGTGGCAGTATAGTAGTAGTATTAGTGGTGATGGTAGTAGTAGTATTAGTGGTGATAGTAGTAGTAGTAGTATTAGTGGTGATGGTAGTAGTAGTAGTAGTATTAGTGGTGATGGTAGTAGTAGTAGTATTAGTGGTGATGGTAGTAGTAGTAGCAGTAGTAGTATTAGTGGTGATGGTAGTAGTAGTAGTAGTAGCTATGATGGCAGGATTTATTGTTTTGAGGGGAATTCTTGCTAATACATAAGAGATGATGGAGCTGCCTTTGTTCTGTTTGTTTAGTTACCTGGAGGTTATTCCGGGGATCAACGCCCCCGCGGCCCGGTCCACGACCAGGCCTCAGTGATCATATGTAGAAAACAGCACTTTTACATCTTGCCATTTTGATTTTGTGAAATCTTGAAAGAACTTAGTGAGCTCTGTACTTACTTTCTTGCTCTCACCTGGACGCTTTCAAATTTCTTCTGTTAACACAGAGCAAGTCAGGCTGAGAGAGTAGTATTTGTATCTCACACTTTCCTAAGTGTGAGATACAAACACTCCAAATACTCCTTGAGCTGAATGACCCACACAGGTTTAGCACTTCATACAAATATACAAGGTATAATCAGTAATAACCCACATGGAGACAGAAACTCAGCAGATACTACATATGTAAATCCGTTATATCTAGCTCATACTTGATTCACTATTCTCAGTACTACTTTATTTGTTTTGCCTTTGTTTATGCCGATCATCCACTTACATACTTCAAAGATATCTCCTCTCATTCTACATCTGTCAAGAACATATGAAAGGAGGAACACTGCAGCATGCCTTCAGGCCCAAACTAGGCAGGTCTGCTGAAGAAGATCCCAGAAGGGGATCGAAATATACAGATCAATTAATCTTCCGAGTTTCTGTCTCCATGTGGGTTATTAATGATCATTGACAAGTGTTCATTACACTTTAGTTATCTATATGCATGGTATATTTATAAGTGAGCAAGGTAACATTTATGAAGGGATTCAGGGAAACTGGTTAGCAGGGGCTGGGTCCTGGAGTTGGGAAGTAGAGTGCCTGCACTCTGAAAGACAGGTGGGGATGTTACAGTTCAGAGGGGCATCTGAATGGTGATGTCATCATGCTTCTGGCAAGACAATTATTGAATAAATAACAAGAAAGTGTTTCTTCTATTTCAGGTCACTACCTCGGTGGGAGACGTCTGGGGCGCTAAAAAAAATAAATGCTGTAAATTATTTAACCCTTTGACTGTTTTGGTTGTATATATACGTCTTACGAGCCACCGTCTTACGAGCCACGTATATATACTCATAAATTCTAGCGGCTTCAGATCAAGCAGGAGAAAGCTGGTAGGCCCACATGTGAGAGAATGGGTCAGTGTGCACCATATAAAAAAAATCATGCAGCACTTAGTGCATGATGAGAAAAAAAAACTCCGACCGTTTTTTTTAATTAAAATACTGAATTTGTGGTCTATTTTTGTATAGTATTTATGGTTGTATTCCCGTTTTCTTGGTTTCATTTGAGAGAATGGAAAACATATTATAGAAATAGAGGTGATTTTGATTGATTTTACTATAAAAAGAACCTTGAAATGGAGCTCAAAGTAGGGGAAATGTTTGATTTTTGCCGATGTTCAAAAGTAAACAAATGATGTCATTTTCCAATAAATGTCCAAGTAGCCATTCTAATATGCAGTCATGAATGGGTTGACATTATTTATACAATTATTACAATATTGCAGTAGTCTACATAACAGTAAATCTTCTATTTTTTGTATGAATAAAAATTCAAAATAGAAAGCAAGAGTAATATAAGAGGGGCCTGGAGACATGACTGATGAACAAAGAAAATGTTATTTTAGAGCCAGGAATGTCTGCATTGTTCATTCTGGACCCTATTTTGAAATAGTCACATTTTTTAACTTTTGTGAAATTGGCCAAATTGCAAATTTCTGACCACGTTATTGGGTAGTTGAAATCAGTAAATGGACAGTTTCTTGTACTCAATTGATAGAAAAAATGGAGTTCTAAAGAAATAGCTATGAGTTTGGTCGACTGGAACAATGGAATCAGCCGAAAATAGGGCTCAAAGTGGGCGAAATCGCCGATTTGTAAATGTCGCCGAGGTTGCTAACTTCGCGAGAGTGTAATTCCGTCAGTTTTCCATCAAATTTCATTCTTTTGGTGTCATTACAATCGGGAAAAGATTCTCTTATCAATTGATAAGAAAATTTTTTTTTTTTTTTTGAAAGTTTGCGACACCAGGAGACTCCTCAGGATTTGGGGTTGTGACAGTCAAGGGGTTAATTCTGTTTACAGGAAGGCCCTACTTATACAGCAGGTTAGGGTCTGGGCTACTATTGTAAAGCAAGAATTGCTTTAAAGTGAATCATAGCCTTTTTTCACTTTCAAATGCATATAAAAGCCTGATAACATGTTTATACTATCATATATTAAGTGAGCAATAGAGCTAGGCCTAAAAAATGCATATACAGTATACACAATGCATACCTTAAAATGCTTTTGTCCTTAGCTTATAGTGAGTGGTGAATATATTTATTATAGGGTGACCCCACTCCCAAAAATAAGAAGAAACCCATACACCATCATTCACTCAATTGCTGTCTTGCCAGAGGCATACTGACATCACAGTTCAGATGAATATATAGTAATTGAAATTCAATTATTTTTATTTCCACATGATTCATAGTTTGAACAAAAAATGGATGACAATAATGCATGTGGAAAGCCCCTGGTTATGTAGAGCATTTCAGGTGAGCTGAAACCTTACTGCGATTAAAATGACAGTAAACATTGTACATATATATATGTTCATATATAAAGACATTAAAGATGTACACAAAATAAAATTAATTCAATGAATGGCACAAACGTCAACATAAGTAGATAAAAGCATAGATTGGTATAACAACACAAAAAATTAGTTGGGCTAAAGTTCGTTCCAATAAGTTTTCAGGTACAGTTATTTGCAGCATTAGATGACACTCAGTACTACAATAACAGATTCTAGATGCAACAACCATTCCACATAACAAAGCTCACTGCAGTATATTATAACATCGGTACTCTTATGGAGAAGCAAAAGAACAATAAAGGGTTATTACTAATAGAGATAATAATAATAATTTATTCCATTTCTGCAGTATATAGGTAATGTAGTTTACATTATTTTTTTTTTATTAACACATCGGCCGATTCCCACCAAGGCAGGGTGGCCTGAAAAAGAAAAACTTTCATCATCATTCACTCCATCACTGTCTTGCCCGAGTGGTGCTTTACACTACAGTTATAAAACTGCATCATTAACACCCCTCCTTCAGAGTGCAGGCACTGTACTTCCCATCTCCAGGACTCAAGTCCAGCCTACCGGTTTCCCTGAATCCCTTCATAAATGTTACTCTGCTCACACTCCAACAGCACATCAAGTATTAAAAAACATTTGTCCCCATTCACTCCTATCAAATATGCTCATGCACCCTTGCTGGAAGTCCAAGCCCCTCGCACACAAAACCTCCTTTACCCCCTCCCTCCAACCCTTCCTAGGCCGACCCTTACCCCGCCTTCCCTCCACTACAGATTTATACACTCTTGAAGTCATTCTATTTTGTTTTATTCTCTCTACATGTCCGAACCACCTCAACAACCCCGCCTCAGCCCTCTGGATAATAGTTTTGGTAATCCCACACCTTCTCCTAATTTCTGAACTACGAATTCTCTGCATTATATTCACACCACACATTGCCCTCAGACATGACATCTCCACTGCCTCTAGCCTTCTCCTTGTTGCAACATTCATCACCCATGCTTCACACCCATACAAGAGTGTTGATACAACTATACTCTCATACATTCCCCTTTTTGCGTCCACGGACAAAGCTCTTTGTCCCCGCAGACTTCTAAGTGCACCACTCACCCTTTTCCCCTCATCAGTTCTGTGAGTCACCTCATCCTTCATAGACCTATCTGCTGACATGTCCACTCCTAAATATCTGAATACATTCACCTCCTCCATACTCTCTCCCTCCAATCTGATACCCAGTCTTTCATCACCTAATCTTTTTGTTATCCTCATAACCTTACTCTTTCCTATATTCACTTTTAATTTTCTTCTTTTACATACCCTACCATGTTTACATGTTATTAAATATTGTTAAGCATAAAAGAAAGCCACTAACATGTGGTACATTTCAGGCAGACTAATTCTTATGCTTATACTATAAGACTACATAAGAACTAGACATGGGTTATTAAGGAGTTTTTCAATGTACAAAAATGAGAGGTAGCTAAATGAACTGATTCAGTGATCTTCAGATGGGGTAAATGATTTGACTACAGTGTCTAGACAGTATTGGTAAACAATAATTGTGATGATTCTTATTATGCAAATATTTGTATTATTTTTAAGATTGTTTACATGTATCTAAATTTTTGTTTATAGATGACCTACCAATTAGTCATATATATTACATAGATTTTTTTTTTTTTTTTCAACAAGTCGACCGTCTCCCACCGAGGCAGGGTGACCCAAAAAGAAAGAAAATCCTCAAAAAGAAAATACTTTCATCATCATTCAACACTTTCACCACACTCACACATTATCACTGTTTTTGCAGAGGTGCTCAGAATACAACAGTTTAGAAGCATATACGTATAAAGATACACAACATATCATACACAACATAGATGTATTCAATAATATATACAATATGTATATTCTTATACATGAATGCAATTATTAATCAAGTTTAATCACTAACAATAAAAATAATTCTCTTTCAGGAATTATCACTGATGGAGTTAAAGATGCAAATGTTGTGGCCTTTAAGAAAATTAAGAAAGCGCATCATCCTGTAGCCCAGTGTGAGAAACTGTTAGAAATGGGACAAAAATCTTCAGCTTCAGCTGCTGACAACGCTGCCAAATCAGCACCAACTTGTGAGAACACCTCAAAATCAGCACCAACTTGTGAGAACACCTCAAAATCAGCACCAACTTGTGAGAACACCTCAAAATTAGCACCAACTTGTGAGAACACCTCAAAATCAGCACCAGCTTGTGAGAACACCTCAAAATCAGCACCAACTTGTGAGAACACCTCAAAATCACCACCAACTTGTGAGAACACCTCAAAATCACCGCCAACTTCTGAGAACACCTCAAAATCAACACCAGCTTGTGAGGACACCACAAAATTAGCTCCATCTTGTGAGAACAACTCAAAATCTTCATTGCCATCTTCTGAGAACAGCTCAAAATCTTCAGCATCATCATCTGAGAACAGCTCAAAATCTTTAGCATCATCATCTGAGAACAGCTCAAAATCTTCAGCATCATCATCTGAGAACAGCTCAAAATCTTCAGCATCATATTCTGAGGAGAACAGCTCAAAATCTTCGGAAGAGAACAGCTCAGAAGAGAATCTGACTGCAGAGGAATCAAAAGATGAAATGCTGAGAACAAGAACAGAAACAAGTCCCGTGGGAATTAGACAATCCTGTTTGCTGGATCCAAACTTAGTTCAAATTGTTGCATCGAAAAAGGAGGTAATGCTCTAAACACTTCAGTATTTAACCCTTCAAGAAAGATGTGTCTTGATGTCAGTGGGGGGCTTTTGATCCAAGAAATTTTAGCTATCTTTCCCTTGGATTAATAATAATAATTTTTTTTTTCAACAAGTCGGCCGTCTCCCACCGAGGCAGGGTGACCCAAAAAGAAAGAAAATCCCCAAAAAGAAAATACTTTCATCATCATTCAACACTTTCACCTCACTCGCACATAATCACTGTTTTTGCAGAGGTGCTCAGAATACAACAGTTTAGAACCATATATGTATAAAGATACACAACATATCCCTCCAAACTGCCAATATCCCGAACCCCTCCTTTAAAGTGCAGGTGTTGTACTTCCCATTTCCAGGACTCAAGTCCGGCTATATAAAAATAACCGGTTTCCCTGAATCCCTTCACTAAATATTACCCTGCTCACACTCCAACAGCTCATCAGGTCCCAAATACCATTCGTCTCCATTCACTCCTATCTAACATGCTCATGCACACTTGCTGGAAGTCCAAGCCCCTTGCCCACAAAACCTCCTTTAAAATTGTACAATTTTAAGTGCATATCATAGTATGTATTAATATGCACTTAAAATTGTATAATTTTAAATTTTACTAATTGTAATATTTTTTGATACCTCTCTACTATAAATTTTTCCAATTATAATGTTTTTTCTACCTATTTTTTGTAATAGCGCATAATTAAAATTTACCACTCCGCCAATTTATAGTTTTAAGTAGTCTGTGAGCATTAGGATTAGCCTGCCTGAAATGCCCAGGCATGTTAGTGCCTTTCTTTGTGCTTAACATTATTTTTATTACGTGTAAACTACAGTTTGAATACTACACAAAGAAATAAAAAAAAATTATTTATTTTAGTTATATTTTTATTTAAAAATTATAATAAATTACTCAGCTTTTTTCTTTAAGTTCACAACTTGTCACTAATTAAAAATCTAGAAATATTATAATATTTCATTGTCCATTACATTTTTGTACACTAAAAATTACAATTCCTTGATGTGTGCTACTGTTAGTATTTATTTATTCTTGTATTAATTTTGAACTGTCGTATCTGTGCGACTCTGCAAAGACAGAGATAGTGTGAATGATGGTGAAAGTTTTTTTTTTTTTTTTTTTTTTTTTTTGTCACCCTGCCCCGGTGAGAGACGCCCAGCATGTTAAAAAAAAAAAATAGAATGTGTCAACAATCGAGCAAAAGAATGGACAGAGATTTGAACTTTGGTCCATGTGTTGGGCCTGCTACATGCACGGACCAGTTTGAGTCCCCTTTCATTATTCTGTTTATTCATTTCTGTAATAATATTTACCTTCTTAGCTTGATCGACGAATTGCTGCATTTCAACAACGTAAACGAGAGGAACTGGATGTACTCAATGTGCAAGAGTTCTGCATGTTATCTGGAGGTTCCTCGTCGCTTAATTCCTGTGCTCGGACAACAGCAGTTGTTTTAAGATCTAAAGGCTCCAATAGCCATTTGAAAAGTAAGCTATTAATGTAGCATGCAGTACCATAAAGAATAAAACGGCACAATGCCATGACTGGGACAACACACAAAAAACCCACACAGAGGAAACTGAAACTTATGACAATGTTTCAGTCTGATTTGGACCATTAACTAGTCACACAGTGTGACTAGTTAATGGTTCAGGTCGGACTGAAATGTCATCATAAGTTTCAGTCTCCTGTGTGCAGATTATTTTGTATATACAGTACTGCAATAAGATCACAGTAAACAGGTAATTTCAGAATATGCAAAACAACCACTGTGAACGAATAGTGAAATTCCAAGCGCTTTCGTGACTACTCACATTATCAAGGGGTTGTTTTGCATATACAGTACTGTAGATGTTTCATTTTATTCAAGATGTTATAGGACTAACATGTGGGATTAGGGAATTTTTTTAGCCTGTAATTCTAAAGATTATATGCAATATAACACTTCATGGAATATAACTGGGAAAATATTTTTACTGTTGCATACATATTGTTGAAATATTACATTATTATTATTATTTTTGTTTATTTACCCCATAAAAAATGAGATCACATATGTATTTTATTTGTTTCTAACAGTATCTTTCACTGTTTAATGTTTAAAGTCACTTATATTTTCTAAATGAATTTCAAATTTGCAGTGACCCATGTTGTCAATGACTGGGGACCTCAGACATTGGGATTAGACCCAGGATCTGTTTCTTCAGATTTTATGACTTCAAAGGCATCACTAAAGCAAGGTAAGATCTGTAAAGTTAATAAAATTTAATTTACACATTTTTAACACACTGGCCATCTCTCACTAAGGCAGGTTAACCCAGAAAGAAGAAATGAAAGATTTTCTTCTTTTTACAATTGTTCTTATTCATTATCTTTGCTTTAAGGGATATTAATCTGTTAAATGTTCAGTACAATACATTTTTTGTATTCTTAAGATGTTTTTCTATTTCTTCTTCTTTCAACAAACCGGTCATATCCCACCAAGGCAGGGTGGCTCAAAAAGAAAAACGAAAGTTTCTCTTTTAAAATTTAGTAATTTATACAGGAGAAGGGGTTACTAGCCCCTTGCTCCCGGCATTTTAGTCGCCTCTTACAACACACATGGCTTACGGAGGTAGAATTCTGTTCCACTTCCCCATGGAGATAAGAGGAAATAAACAAGAAAAAAGGACTAGAAAGAAAATAGAAGAAAACCCAGAGGGGTGTGTATATATATGCTTGTACATGTATGTGTAGTGTGACCTAAGTGTAAGTAGAAGTAGCAAGACGTACCTGAAATCTTGCATGTTTGTGATACAGACAAAAGACACCAGCAATCCTATCATCATGTAAAACAATTACAAGGTTTTGTTTTACACTCACTTGGCAGGACAGTAGAACCTCCCTGGACGGTTGCTATCTACCAACCTACTACTGTTCCTAGGTTTTTCTATTTATAATGGTTTAAAATACTGTACAGGTAGAGTAAGTCTCCCACTTAGGATGTTAATGCATTCCTTACAGTAATATGTAAGTCAGTTGTTTGGAAGTGAGAACCAGTTTTTCCCATAAACACCTATGTTATAATCAGAGATTGCTCCTAACGTAATTTTTTTTTTTTTTAAAAAAAAACCCGGCCGAACCCACCGAGGCAGGGTCACCCAAAAAAAAAAAAACCCCCAAAAAGAAAAATACTTTATCATCATTCGCACTTTCACCTAAAACAAATCACGTTTTTAAGAGGGTTTAGAACACAACGCTTAAAGCATATATGTATAAAGATCAAAACAATCCCCCCAAAACTGCTAATATCCCAAACCCCTTTTTAAAAGTGCAGGCTTTGAATTCCCTTTTCCGGGAGTCAAGCCCGGTATATAAAAAAAACCCGGGTTTCCCCTACTCCCTTCATAAATTTTACCCTGTTCACACCCAACGATCTCGGGTCCCAAATACCATTGTCTCCATTCCCCCCTACGAACCTCATCATCCCCTGCGGGAAGTCCAAACCCCTCACCCAAAAAACCCCCCTTACCCCTTCCTCCAACCTTTTTGGGGACGACCCCACCCCCCCTTCCTTTCCCCCTACGATTTAAACCTCTCCATGTATTCTACTTTGGATCCTTCTCCCCTAAATACCAAACCCCCAACAACCCCTTTTCGCCCCTGACTAAACTTTTTTTAACTCCACAACTCCCAAATTTTCCACACTAAATTTTTTGCATAATATTTCACCACACATTCCCCTTAGGAATCTCCCACGCCCCAACCGCCCTCGCTGCGCTTTTCAAAACCCAAAGTTCACACCCATAAAAAAGGGTGTTGGTACTACTAACTTTCATACTTTTCCCCTTTTTTGCCTCCTGATAACTTTTTTTTTTTCCCACATATACCTCAACGCCCCACCTTTTTTTTTTCCCTCACAATTCCTGTTTAAACCCTCATCCCAAAACTATCCCCCGCACTTTAATTCCCAAGTTCAAATTTTTTTTTTTTTTTTTTTGAACAAACCGTCATATCTCACCAAGGGGGGGCCCAAAAAGAAAAACGAAAGTTTCTCTTTTTAAATTATAATTTGTAAGGAAAAGGGGTTACTACCCCTTTGCCCCTGGCATTTTAGTCACCTCTTACAACCCAGGCTTACGGAGGAAGATTCTGTTCCATTTCCCCCAGGAGACAAGGGGGAAAAAACAAAACAAGAACTAGAAAGAAAATAAAGAAAACCAAAGGGGGTTTTGTAATATAGGGGGGGTAGGGGTGTCCCGAAAGGGGTTTGGAGAGGGGGGGGTAAAGGGGTTTTTGGGGGAAAGGGGGTTTGGGATTTCCAGCAAGCGTGCATGAGCGTGTTAGATGGGAGTGAATGGAGACAATGGACTGGGACCTGACGATCTTTGGAGTGTGGCAGGGTAATATTTATAAAGGGGATTCGGGGAAACCTTTTATTTTCATAAGTCGGATTTTGATCGGGGAAAGGAAGTAAAATGCCTGCACTTAAAGGGGGGTTTGGGATATTGGCATTTGGAGGGTATGTTGTGTATCTTTATTTTAGCTTCAACTTTTGTATTCTGAGCACCTCTGCAAAAACAGGATAATGTGCGAGGGGGTGAAAGTGTTAATGAGATGAAAGTATTTTTTTTTGGGGGGATTTTCTTTCTTTTTGGGTCACCCTGCCTCGGGGGGGGGAAGACGGCCGCTTGTTAAAAAAAAAAAAAAAAAAAAAAAAAAAAAAATGATGTGTATGTGACCTAAGTGTAAGAGAAGTAGAAAAGACTACCTGTAATCTTGCATTTTTTAGAGGCAGACAAAAGACCCCCAAAATCCTCCCATCTGTAAAAAAATTTACAGGCTTTCGTTTTACACCCCTTTGGGCAGGACAGTATACCTCCCTGGGCGGTTGCTGTCTACCAACCTACTACCTGGGTTTTTTTTTTAAAAATAAAATTTAAAAAAAAAACAGTGGCAGTGCTCAAAAAGTCTCTCTCTCCCATTCTTCTTTCCTATTCCCTCCCTTTTTTTTTCCTTCTTTTCCACTACCTTTCCCCTCCACTATATGTCAGTATTCCGCCCTCACCATACTGCACACATTACTGTACTCCACTAAAAATAAACTTCCCCACCCCCACACTGTATGCCATTCCCACACTGCCCCACCCCAAATTTCCCTGCTTTTGGGGTCGGCTTATTAGGCGATAATTTGACGGTAATCTTACTTTTGATTTGAAGATAGGATTTCCTTTAGCAAACTTCCACAACTCTGGTATACACCACACCACATAATGTACTATAGAAAATTTAAAGATATAGTTACAGGGGGGCCCCTGCTGTCAGCATTTCGCTGTAAGAGGGCCTTTTCTTTCATTTATTCAACTTCCTGTAATTTCGTCATCACTATAAGCTAATAATTAAATTTAATTTATTTCTACAATACTTACAATGTATAAGGGTGTAGCTGAATCAATGACATACACTCTAATGAAAGCCGCTTGTTAGCAGAGCATTTTGGGAAAAATTAATCAATTTTCCCCGGGGATATATCCACACCAGTTGACTAACACCCAGGACCCTTTTTTTACTGTTGGGTAACTTGGATAAAAGAAAGCCCAATGCTTCTCACGTGCCGTGAATCGATCAGGGACCCTCTGCATGTGGGTGAGAGCTTTGTCACCAAGCCATGGTAAGTATGGGGTTACATACTGTACAGGAGGGCCCCGTTTTAAACGGTTCCGCTTTTAGGGCGTTCCGCTAATACGGACTTTTCAAATTAAAGCCCAAAACTCACTAACGGCTCCCCCCCTGCTTTCTAAACGGTCCCCCGTGCCCCCCCCTGTTTGTTTACATTCCCCAAGAGCTCAAAGCACTAATCTCTCCATTTTGTCTGGGAAACCCAAAAATTTCAAAGTTTTTAAAAGTTATTTTATATTTTATATTACCTGATAATTATACTTATGTATACCCCGTACCTAAATAAAATTACATACCTCGAGTCATTTTAAAAGTCTAATTTCGTTAATATACACATTTTATTAATCCTCCATGATTTTTTTTCAAAATTATATAATAAAAACACGAGCATAAAAATATAAATAAGATAAATAACCCACAGTAGAATAATAAACAAATGTAGATGTAAGACGACTTGCCCAAATGGTATAATAAAATCTGAGTCTCATTAAATGGATATTACGGTAATATAACATTTTCATTAATCCACCATGTATTTTTTTCAAAATTTTAAAAATAAAAACGAGCATAAAATATAAAAAGATAAATACACCCCCCATAGAATAAATAAACAAATTGAGATGTCTAGCAGACATTGCAAAGTGGTGAAATAACAAAACTGATCTCATTAAAAAGTCGTATATTCGGTAATAACACATTTCATTAATCCCTCCATGATATTTTTTTTAAAATAATAATAAACACGTGCATAACTTTTAAAAAATAAAATACACCCCCCATAAAAAATAAAAAAATGTGAGATGTGTAGCAGACGACTTGCACAAGTGGGGATAATAACAATAAACCATCTATTAAATGTCGATATTAAAGGTAAAATACCATTTTCATTAAACCATCCATGATATTTTTTCAAAATTATATAAAAACACGAACATAACTAAAAAATGATAAAACACCCCCCAATAGAATAAATAAACTAAATTAAGATGGGGAGCCACTTAACTTTACAAGTGAGCCAAGAAAAAATTTTCTCTAATCTAACATAAGAGTAAAAGTGTTACTTGGGGGGGAAATGTAGAAAAAATTTTTCCTTTTGTAGTATGTAATAAGTTTTTTCGGTATACACAAATACAGTTACATAATTATCTACATACAACATACGGTAGAGAACCAAGGGTAACCCAAAAAAGTCAGTGTGACTTATTTCCATTGCCTTTTACCAGAGTTCATTTTTCCAAATGATGTTACAGAGAATGGGATGTTCTTCTTTTTAATTCTACCGTATCAAAGTAGAGAAACCTGTACACAAGTAACTTTTACACAAACCAGACGTGTAACTTCGTTTGTTTACAAAAATTTTCCTTTCCCCTGGTTTGTTTACATAACTGCGCCCGCCCCCCCTCATGTTTCACTTTCTCTCTCTCTTTATTTTGTTTTTTCTCATTTACTTTCTCCTACCCTACATTAAGACTACAAAAAATTTTAAGGTAAGTAATGGTGAACTTATAACATTTTTCGCTCTGGGGGGCTTTTAAAATCTAGAAAGTTGTGTGGGTGGGGTGGCCCGGGGGAGGCTATTACAATACATACCACACTTTATTTCTTTCAAAAATATACTTGTCTCACCCTAGATAAGCATAATATTTAAAGGGTTTAAGAGTCACTATGTTGTATTTTCCTTTTTATTGTTTTTTGAGCCTGGGTTCTATTTTCTAACTTAATATTTTGTGTAAACTTGTTATCTAGTTTTGTATGCATTTTAAGGGAAAAAAAGGTGTTCCACTTTTCGGCGATTTCCCTTTACGGGGGTAGCCCGGAAACCTAACCCGCCGTATAAGTGGGGCCCTACTGTATATGTATTTTTTAGGCCTAGCTCTTTTGCTCACTTAGTATATGATAGTGTAAACATGTTATCAGGCTTTTATATGCATTTGAAAGTGAAAAAAGCCTCTTACACTTTATAGCAATTTTCACTTTACAGCAGTAGCCTACAGCCTAATCTACTGTATAAGTAGGACCTGCCTGTACTTGTTATTTTTTTAATTCCTATCATATTTGATCTTTCTTTGTTTTTAAGTGCATTAAAAATAGTAAAATTCTTCAGAGTGCAACACTGGCAAGAGCAGCAGCAGTAGAGAAGGCTCGGTATACACAGGACATCAGTCACCTCAGGATAATAAGGATTCTCAGGAGCCAGATATTTTACCCACAGGTGAGAATGTACATAAATGGTATACAATACTGACAGGATGAAGAATTAGACACATGTGCAACATCTGGATATCTTCATCTGTAGATGTTTTGTCATCAAGTGGCCTTTTCAATACAAATTCAATGACTGTAGAACTATATACAAAAGACAAGGTAATCAGTCCCTCAGCCTTGAGGTTGGTGAAGAGCACCATAGTCTTGAAGAATCTGAAGCACAGGCAGTAAAATTGTCGCTTTTATACTGACTTCAAATGAGCTTCAGACGTGCAATTGGCAAAGGCATGGTCACTGGTAGGAGGGATTTCCCAGTGGAAATAAGTCATACATAAGGGATGGGCTAGTAGTAATTAAGAAGGTTGTGGAGATGTCCTCTGAACCAAGATTCCATGATGTTGCTGTGTCTGACAGGTGAGAATCATTACTTGGATCTCCCATTTAAACAAACAAAACCATAGGAGCTGTTATTGATGAAAGTTAAAGTATAAAATTTAGAAGACCATGTAGATAGGTCACATTTGTTATTATTATTATTATTATTATTATTATTATTATTATTATTACTATTATTTAGTATAAATGAATAAGTGTTATCTGCTATTGCAACATCTGGGTCATTGATGCAGACTAATAAATGAAATGAAAATATTAACTGTTTTTTTATTTTTAATCTCAAACATCAATTCATAAATGCCAGTAGTAACTATTTTAATGTTCAGACATATGAATTTTTAATGTTGTTGCAGTTGTATGAAAAACTAATCTCGTAAAGAGGTATTCAGCTAAGAAAAGAAAAACTGGAATAAAGGACATTAGAAAGTTTTTCTTTGCAGAGTGATAGATTAATGGAATGAGCTACAAGAGAAAGTATTAAGTACTACAACCCCTGGAAGTTTTTAAAACTTTGTGATAGACTAAATACTGAAGACAGGGGCCCCACAACCTTGACTCTACTCCTGTAGTTACAAATAGTACCCTCTCAAGGGAAGTTCCTTGATGCTGGTGAGGGGCTCTTGATCTAAGGAATTGGATATGTGCTCCAGTTCCCTGAATTGAGCCTGAATATCTTCCATCCCCTCCCTCCATGATTACAATAATAATACAAATAGGTACAGTAATCAATTAATGAGGCAAACAGAGAAAGAAAAACATGTTTTTGTGTGCAAAGAGGATTAAAAGAGGCATTGTTGCAATGAGGCTAACCCAATATTTGCCTGTATAATTGTGACTCATGATGGAGAGAAAGAGAAGGAGACAGAGAGAGAGAGAGAATACATTATTATTATTATTATTATTATTATTTTTTTTTTATTATTATCACACTGGCCGATTCCCACCAAGGCAGGGTGGCCCGAAAAAGAAAAACTTTCACCATCATTCACTCCATCACTGTCTTGCCAGAAGGGTGCTTTACACTACAGTTTTTAAACTGCAACATTAACACCCCTCCTTCAGAGTGCAGGCACTGTACTTCCCATCTCCAGGACTCAAGTCCAGCCTGCCGGTTTCCCTGAACCCCTTCATAAATGTTACTTTGCTCACACTCCAACAGCACATCAAGTATTAAAAACCATTTGTCTCCATTCACTCCTATCAAACACGCTCACGCATGCCTGCTGGAAGTCCAAGCCCCTCGCACACAAAACCTCCTTTACCCCCTCCCTCCAACCTTTCCTAGGCCGACCCCTACTCCGCCTTCCTTCCACTACAGACTGATACACTCTTGAAGTTATTCTGTTTCGCTCCATTCTCTCCACATGTCTGAACCACCTTAACAACCCTTCCTCAGCCCTCTGGACAACAGTTTTGGTAATCCCGCACCTCCTCCTAACTTCCAAACTACGAATTCTCTGCATTATATTCACACCACACATTGCCCTCAGACATGACATCTCCACTGCCTCCAGCCTTCTCCTCGCTGCAACATTCATCACCCATGCTTCACACCCATATAAGAGCGTTGGTAAAACTATACTCTCATACATTCCCCTCTTTGCCTCCAAGGACAAAGTTCTTTGTCTCCAAAGACTCCTAAGTGCACCACTCACTCTTTTCCCCTCATCAATTCTATGATTCACCTCATCTTTCATAGACCCATCCGCTGACACGTTATTATTATTATTATTATAATAAAAAAGAAGCGCTAAGCCACAAGGGCTTACAGCGAGTGGAAGTATTGCACAGTTCAATTTTTTTTTTTTTTTCCCAAACCCCGGGCCCTTCCATCGGGGGCGGGGAAACCCTGGAGGGTATTTTGAGGGTCATCCCCCTGGGGCCCCTTTGGGGTAATCTAAAAAAAAAAGTGTTTTTTTCTTTCTTTTTACTTTAGCAGTTTTACTGGCATTTTAGTTGACCTCATGATACCAGGTTGCAGGAAAGTTTATGTTACTTGTACAAGTTGAACCACAAAACTGGTGGAGCATATACAAAAAACCTTACTTGATCATTCGGGATTTTTAAACCCTTGGTAATTCTTCTTATGACCCCTACAGGTTAGCACTTTTAAATGTAATGACATTAAACAATAACTTGACCCAATAACCCAATAAGATGTCAAAAATTTTCCAAAAAACAAAGATTATAAATAATTGTTCGGGCTGTTTTTTTTTATCAGGCATTGGGGAGGATTTCAAAAACCTGGGGAACCCACCTAAAGTTAACCCCCTTCGGGCCCTTACCACGCGATGTTTATCCCAGAAAAAAGGGCCCGTGGAAGATAGAGTGCTCCTTTTTGGAAGGGAAATATCACAAGTACTTCGAGTTCAGTAAGTTAGTTGTAGTACCTAGGTTCCCACTTTCAGTGTGTAATTAAGGCAGAAATGTATTGATTTTTTCCCCTGATAACATTAAGAATCCCAGTAAAAGACAATGATTATAAATTATATTTATAACTGAGATAATATACAGTAGAACCCCCGTATCCAGTGATTCATTATCCACAGTTTACTGTAGCCCAAAAATCCCTCTTAATTTGCTAATAAGGGGCCCCCCAAAAGCAAAAAAGTAGAGAAGCTGGCAGTTCTTCAAAGCTAAGAGAAGCCTAAAGTGCTTCCCATCAGTAAAAAAAATGACAATTCTTCACTGTTTGTGCATAATTTAAATTAAACTTTATAATAGGGATGTATAGGACTTATATATAAGGTTTGCAGGTCCTTGGAACATATCCCCCATGGATACGGGGGTCCTACTGTAGTATTTATAAAAAAATATGTAATGTGATCATGATATGTATATATTGACCTGGGAAGTTAGATAAGTAGACATCAAACTAGGATGTTATTGGAAGGGTTTCAATAATTTGGAAAGAGGCACTTATTGCAAAAGACCTGTTATTGTTATGGCATTTCAACTACAAGAGGCTTGGCTTGATAAAGACTCTTGTAGGCGAAACATTCTAACAATAAAAGGTCTTTTGCTTTATGTATGTGTCTTTTACTACCACTTGTCAACTGATGGTCATGCTCCTCCTAGTTTTAGTAAGGTCTGAAGTGTCTACACTCTGCAAGATGGGTAAGGTTTTTTTTTTACCACACCGACCGTCCTTCACTAAGGTAGGGTGACTTGGAAAAGAAGAAACGTGAAGTTTTTCTTCTTTTTACATTTAGTAATTTATACAGGAGAAGAGGTTACTAGCCCATTGCTCCTGTGGTTTGTAAAAAGAAAACAACATTGAATCTAATCCTGTGAAACTATGAAGTTTAAAAAAAAAAAAAGGTAGAGGCAACTTTATACATACACAGCCTCTCCTCACTTAACGACAGGGTTCCATTCCTAAGTCCATGTCGGTAAACAAATTCATCGCTGAGCAATGAGCATACTACATGTATAATGGTAGTGGGTTTGTGTCAACCATCTTTGATATTGTTTTAATGTCACCTTTGCACTATTTATAACATTTCAGGTATATTTTTAAATGTTTATAAAGTAGTGTACTGTACACAAATAACCCGCACATAAAAGAGAGAAGCTTACGTCGTCGTGAGCTTCTCTCTTTTATGTGCGGGTTATTTGTGTATCGTTCCAGTCACGGTATTGTGCCTTTTTGTTATTTAGTGTACTGTATATTGTAGTAAAAAGAATAGAGGAAATTAGCTCTAATATACATTATTTAGGTATGCATAAAGGACAGAGAGCCCATTGTAAGTCCGAACCATCAGTAAACGAGTACGTCACTAAGTGAGGAGAAGCTGTACTCAGTAGATATGCTCGAGCTCATGATGCTGACTGAAAGTTAACAAGCTTGGCCAGGAGCTGGAGGTTGATCCATGTAATTTGTTTATTTGTGTTAACAAGGATCAAGCTCAAATGCAAACTAAAATAGGTGAAATTTTTTAATATTATTAATATTACCATATTCAAGAGGAAGTTCCAAACTTATAAGGGTCATATAGCATCTGGGTAAAGAAGTTTGATCCAAGAATGGGTAAGGTAGCTCTAATTCCTCGGATTAGTTGCCTTCATCAGTATTAAGGCAGCCTCCTAAAAGTCAATAAGTGGAAAAATATGAAGAAACTTAAAAAAAAAAATATTAATACAGTGGACCCCCGGTTAACGATATTTTTTCATTCCAGAAGTATGTTCAGGTGCCAGTACTGACCGAATTTGTTCCCATAAGGAATATTGTGAAGTAGATTAGTCTATTTCAGACCCCCAAACATACACGTACAAACGCACTTACATAAATACACTTACATAATTGGTCGCATTGGGAGGTGATCGTTAAGCGGGGGTCCACTGTATATTCCTCACATTAAACACTGGCTTCTTAATTGTGAATTTTTTTCTTTCAGAAAATTCAGGCACTTGTGAATACATCAAAACAGAAAGAAATTAAAGCTGTAGAAGATGATGTAAGTGATAGTTTAATTATTGGCTGTGGTCGTAATACAGTTGAAACAAGCTCCTGTTATTCAATTATTATTATTATTATAATCATAACTAAGCTATTATTTAATAATGATCTCACATTTTGCTGTTATTTCCTAGTAAATTTCATTAGCTAAAATTCCCTCACAGAACTTCATCATCACTTTATCCAAATAAATCTCCATATATTTTAGATCTAGCATTTCCCAAAGTATATTTTGAGTTAGAAATATTGGCATATTTTTAATGTAAATCTGACCCACTGTTAATTTTTTTCAGCTCTCACTAGAGGATTTAGAGCAGAAAATTTACCAGTTGAAGATGAAACTCAAACATAAACAGATTAGTCAAGTTTTTTAATAGTGTTTGATAAATTATTTTTGTGTGTGTAAACTGGCTAGCAGAGAGATGTGGAAAGGAAACTGTCGAGCAGTAATGTGTAACCTCAGGTATTTCTGTCTCTTTGTTTCATTATTATTAATATATTCTTTGTGAAACACTAAACTTATAGGGATCTTGGGAGGTAATCATGTTTGATCTAAGGGAAGGGCAGCTCCAATTCCTTTGATCAAGAGCCCTTCACTGTATCAAGGTATCTTTCTTAAAGGGGTTATGACATTAACACATTACAATTATTATAAAATA